GGATTTTCGATTTTTTCATTTTGCACACCCCCAGGCGATATTTACGGACGGCCGCTGTTAACAACCGTCTGTTTCAGAGTGTACTTAATTGAAACTGCTGTAGACCGGCACTGGAAATGGCCCAACGATAATTAGTACTGACATTCCGTACATAACCTATTCTCAGGCAACGGCAAAGCGATACCTTTCATCTTACATACAAAAGTTTTGAACTATCAAACTAGTCAGTATTTTATGCAAAGAACTTGCTACTAATAGTTATCGCTTTCAGCCAGACACTAAAGGCCCCGCTAAAGTTGGATTCATGAGGCCCCCTTTACATGTAACACCCTCCCAGATCAATCTATTGTAGCTATATTTCATAGATTCATTTGATTTTTTGTAAATTCACAGAGAGTTAAAGACTGAATAACCTATGAACTGTTTCGATGAAACCTTGAAAATATCATGCTAACGAAAGAAAGATCAACCTTAAATCGAAAGTACTTTCATATCCGCTTGCATGATCTTTGCCTGAGCCAAAAGGTTCGCTGAGAGCTTGGTTTCAGTATGATTCCAGCGCATATTTACAGTTTCCAGCTTGAATAGTTCAGATGGTCAAGCGAACTTTTTTTCTGAAAGGGAAGACGTATATCTCCTCTTATATTTTCACATTCTGCTCAGTGGGAGAGAAATGGCGATGCCATATTACTAAAGGGGATTTTCCCTTTCAAGGCCTTTCAATATAGTTCATCAAAAATGTGTCTTTAACTCAAGTGGTATAATTAATTATTTCTTTCTCTAAACCGGAATACTAGAAAGCACGCTCAAAAAAACTGCACTTTAACTAATGCCAAATCCTCAGTGCTAATCTGATAACAGCTCGTTGAACCGGTACCTTGATACTCTATGCAATGCATGTTAAAACGGAAATGACATAAGCTTCGGATCACTCACCCGTTAAGCTTCAATTTAAGGATAATAAAAGAATATTTAAGAGCGGCTCCGCGTGAATATCAACGACACGTGGAAATAGTCAAAAAATGACCTGGCCTCAAACTCAGCCAGAATAAAGCCCTATGGGCCCTAGTTACAAAATCGTTGGTTTAAGTACGATCGAGTAAATAATATTTTTTTCACGATTTTTTTTTCTTCCCGAGGCCTAAAATGGGCAAAAATCATGCGAAATTAGAGTCATATTCATTAACTCGTAAATTTTAAAATAAAGTTGGCTACTAAAATATAATGACACTTCGTATTATCTTTCCTCTATAATTTTAACTGATTAGTTCGCGATTTGGTCAACAAGAGATTTTTAAAGAAATTTTCAAAGTTGTTGACTCAAAATCGCTTGATCAACCGTCAAAATTTAGCACTTTTTCACGAGCTATTAAAAAAAGCGGATTGGTACATGGCTTTGAACACCAAGACTTGCTTAGTCTGAAAGAGCATTCTTTTTTCTTCAAATTAGCGAAATAAAATTTTTGGGTAAATGAAATCACGAGCGCTGACAAA